CGCCCTGATGCTTAAACTTATGTGGCTTTTTTATTTAAGAGGTCTTCCCAAGTTAAGTCAGTAAAATCTAAATCTGCAAGAATTCTATCATTAAGGTTTCAAAAATACCTTCCAGTTATGGCTGAATTGTCATGGATTCTACCTGCATATATACTATAATTGAACTATGCCTATATAATTCAATAACTGTGAACAAACTCCAAAATTATACTCCCTATTAATTTTTTTTCTTCTAAAAATGCCAATATCAATTTTCTAAATATGACCTTGAACTTGCCAAAATGATACTGGTTAAGAAAGAAAAAATGCATCTTCTATTCATCATAAATCTTTAAATAAAAGGGAGATAATATTTACTGTTTCTCCATTAAGACATTATGGACCTGACATGAGCAATTTTTTTTTTGGCCAATGACCTTGAACTTGCCACAATATCATGGGTAAAGGTTATGATGTACGTTCAGCTTACAAATAATCTTTGAAGTTTCCAGTTTCAATACTTATCCATGAGGGAGTAATGAAATGAAAACAAATTCCACACCTTTCCTGCCAGTAATCTTGACATTGGATAATGTCATGAAACACCATTTAGTCATAAGCAATCTTTGTGTCAAGTATCATTTGCAAATTATGCATTTGACAAAGGTAATACACTTTTTCTGCCAGTTACCTTGAACTTGCTTAAAAATGACCTTGATTTAAGAACAGTCATTACCTCAGGTCATGCTCAATATTTGCGATAAGTATGAGCCTCTAAATGTTCTCAGTTACAAGATATAGTCAAACAGGAATTATAGATTTTTATAAATTTTTATTTTATAAAAATCACCTCTTCATCAAATAACCTTGGGTCAAGGCCATCACACATATATTCAATTTATGCATGAGGCACAAACTTCCAATGCTTCTTCAATAGGAAATCAGGGTATGGGCTACAGTCAGCCTTTTCATTCAGACCTCACTCAAAAAAGTGTAAGGTAAATATGAACAACATAAAGAAAAGAAAATGAAAGAAAAGACAAAAATTTTATATTACTTATAGATGAATGAAAAATGAAACTTATACTTGTGTATTGGGAGCTAGAATTGAAAAAAAAACAAAAATCTAAGATATAAATTTGACTGTCATTAAATTGAATGTATTGTGTAAAAATATTATACATGTGAAATATTCTACCACTCTCTACCATTGGCCCATACATGTCTGAGAGAGGAACAAATGACAACTCTGCATAGGAGATTGATACCCTACAAGTTTAAATAAGGTCCACAGTATCAGTTATATAAACATAACAAAAAAATAAACTAACATCACATGTAACTTTTTTTTATTTGTAGCCAGAAGATTAATAATAGGACAATAATTTCTTCTTGGGTTGCAGTTTTGTTGAAGTGTATACAGTGAATTGTTAAATTATGGTCACTTGACATAGGTGGAGTAAAACCTCTCTTGTTGATAAAACTTGGATATTTCAGAGTTCCACAGGTCCATATAGGGAATTCAGGCGGGTTCAATTTCTGGTGGCCAAATAGTTAAATTGGTAGAGAAAATGACTACTGGATTCAGGGGGCCCTGACTTGAATCCTGGTCTGGTCCATACACCCCATTGCTTATCTCTTTTCTGTCTATGCAAAGAACTTGACAATGCAGACTTTCCCTCAATGATAGAAGTGCTTATCTCTGCAGACTGTACTTGTGACATACACATACACAAGGAAAAATCTTTTAAGACTTTAAGAGAACATAGTGTCTTTTTGAATTGATCTATTTCATGTTTCAATGTTGTTAACAGCATATTTCTAAGTTATAATAAAATAATACATACACATGTAAAAATTAACTTTCACTTTTTCAGGTAATCATATTAACTTGTTACAATCACTCGAATCTTGGACATCCTTTGCATTTAAAAACAAGTGACACAGAAAGTGTGTTGGACATACCCTTGTTGCACTTCATATCTGAAACAATGACACAAAAAATTTGTAGGGGATGTTTCATTAATCATTACATGTAACTGATCTTTTCAAATTAAATACAGTGGTCTGCAACTGCACTAGAAAAACATGAAATCAAAAGGCCCATAGCCACAATGATCACCTTAGTCACTATGGCCATGTTGTTCTTTATAAGCAGATCCCCCCCCCCCCCCCCCACCTTCCATATCTTCCGAAGTAAAACTTGTTTTGCCTGTTCTGGCTCAACCCTAGCCCCTGAAGACATGAGGATCCGAGGATCCCAGCTTCCTTAGAAATATTACTTATCTTTTTATTGTTCTTGAGAAGAGATTTTTAAAGATTCGTTTCCGTATATATTCCTTTAATTTGTAAAACTTTAATTGCTCATAATGGGCCCACCATACCCCCCAGGTCATAATTTGAACAAATTTGATTGAACGTACAATACACAACCTAATGCTTCCATGTAAACACAGTTGAACTTCAGTATCGAGAACACTTATATCTCGAATACCATGGATATGTCGAAGTCCCAATCGCTTATTGTTTAAGTAATATACCCTTGATATCTCGAATCCTCAGATATCTCAAAGTTTTTTCTTGGTCCAATCGAGTTCGAGATAATGAGATTTTACTGTATGAACAATTATGCCTTAGCTTGATTGAGAAGATTCTATAAAAAATTCTTACATATTCTAATGTAAAACTTGATCACCCATTGTTGCCCCATACTACCCTAGAGGGTCAATTAAGCTATGAATGATCGTGAATCTACACTATATGATAAAGCCTGCACATAAGTTTAAACTCACCTGGCCCAGCGGTTCTTGAGAAAGATTTATATTTATCAAATATGTCATAAAATTTTCACTAATTATCTATTATCTCCTATTGAAAGAGAGCGGGACCTTTAATTTGAATATCCTTCATTTGATCCACAAATTTAAATCAGAATTTAAAGCTCAATTGAGCCTTCAGCACAGGAAAGCTACATATGTTTCAAAATTAAGGGGGCAATCATTTCATTCTAAGAAGGGGGGATTGAGGGCTATTTTTCAAGTCAGCTTATTTCTTTCCATACCAGTGAAGGACAAACGAACTATTTTCAAGATGATAAATACAGAAAATTATATATATTTCTTCATCACTTATAACATTTTTAACCCACCCCTTACACTCATACACACGGGGGCGGGGGGGGGGGGGGGGACAAATTATTTGTTTTCAACATTTTGAGGTTCAGATTATTTATTTCCAAAATCTGCAAGTCTCTTCTCCCTTTCAGAATCAAATGGTCTACTCGCTTTCCACAGGCACTTGTTTCTGTAATACTTTTTTAACCCATAGTATGATAGTATATATAAAATACATGGTTACTGTCTTGAAATATAAGCGATATTTGGACGAGGGTAAGAAAACGGGATAGAGGGCAAGGCTTGCCGAGCCCTCTATCACGTTTTCGATCCGAGCCCAAATATCGGTTATATTTCAAGGCAGTATCCATGTATTTAGTTTATCCTGCAACATAATTTACATGACCTCCAAAACGAGCTATTTTAAACCGATTTTGGTACATCTCTGCAGTTGAAACTAAGACGCCATTGCGAAAACATTGCAATTTACATGACGTCACAATGCTTTTAGAACGTCGGAATACATGCACGAGGCTTTATTATGGCATTGACCGAATAAAGCTTTGGTTTATTAGGTTACCTTTATTAGGTCAATGCAAGGGGTAGTTGCAGGATAAATTAATAACATGAGGTATCCAACTTGTATGCAGGTACAATCACAGGGGGTGCTTCCGGATTGTAAACAATGTTATTAAAGAGAAAGAAATATTTGTAGATCTACTATATTGTATCAGTCGTCACGTTGGGTTTTAACATATATACATTTTTAATTTATATTGTTTACATTTCGGGAGCAAGCCCCTGTGATATGTTTACGATGTTTCATGATCAGCTAAATTTCTTACTCTGAACTTATTTCCATTAAATCAGTTGATCAAGCACTTGTAGAAGGACAGTTTCCTTTTTGTGTCGTATCTTGGGGCATTGTTACACCTGCAAGTCAGTAATTTGCTCACAAATACCATAAAACATCACATGTTCTACTTTCTCGTCTCTACTTTCATTTTGATTTAATGCATTTCCGTGAATATAAAGCTTACTTCCCGTAAAGGGAGAAGTCACTAAAATGCTTTTTAAGTAAAAATAATGTACTAGAGAGATATCTCTTTACAGTAAAGAGATATGTCTTTTTGCTTGAGAAATATCTCTTTTGGACACTTTTGAAAGATATCTCTTTCACTTTGAGAGATATCTCTTAAGATAAACTTAGAGAGATATCTCTTTTACTTTGAGAGATATCACTTTAACTTGGAAAGATATCTCTCAAAGTAAAAGAGATATCTCTCTAGGTGAAAGAGATATCTCTCTGAGTGAAAGAGATATCTCTTTAACACTAAGAGATATCTCTCTTAACGAAAGAGATATCTCTCAAAGGAAAAGTGATATCTCTTTAAGTGGAAGAGATATCTCTCTAAGTGGAAGAGATATCTCTCTAAGTGAAAGAGATATCTCTCTTAGTGTAAGAGATATCTTTCTAAGTGAAAGAGATATCTCTTTCTTACAGAGATATCTCTTTAAGTTGAGAGATATCTCTTTAAGTTGAGAGATATCTCTGTTTTTTAAGAGATATCTCTCTAAAATAGGAGATATCTCTGTAATTTTGAGTGAAAATTTATTTTACCAATAAATAGTAAAAGGGCTTGCCATATGTGAGTTTGACATTTCATTCGCTTTGCAAGTATCGAAAATCAACCCGAGAATGCCGCCTCTGGTTGGAGGCGGCGAATTACCAGTTTTCGTAATGGCGCCGGTTCTAACGTTTTCCTGGCACGTAAAATATCAAAATCGTGAAAAAAGCCTGGAAAACGTTAGATATTTCGGACTACTTGACTTATATGGGTACACATTAAAAAATCATTATAAAGAAGGAAAAAAAAAGCATCACGAAGCTTGATCTCACATGCTCACCTTGGGCAAGTTAAATCTGCATTTATCACTGGACATCCATGTTGGTTTTCCTGGCACCTACAGTTAAGAAATTTGTGCAATAAAATGATTCATCAAATAAAAATTCTTCATTGCTTCGATACATTGTTAATTTAATATGTTAACACCTTTGCTGATAAACAACGTCTTAAAGAAATAATAAATGAATATGTGCAGCTTCCATGTGGTCGGAACATTTTCTACTGAGTGTGACTTTCACTTTAGAACGGTGCGTCGATTTACTCAAAAGGACCCAAAAGAACCGAAAGGGAACCAAGAGTACTCGAAATGAACGGGGCAACCGGCTTTTAAATGAACATTTTCATACTTAATTGAAAGTAAAACATTAAATTTTAAATTGGGGGTGGGTGGGAGGGGGTGTTGCTAAAACGCGGAACGGAAAACGGAACGGAAAGCAGAACGGAACGAAAAACGGAAAGTATGATTCCAGGTTAAATCCCTTTAAATATAAAAATAATACCAGAAACAGTATATATCATATAAATTTTTTTTCATATTTAATCCTTAATTATTAAAATACGAGTTGATTTAGTCATGTTCATTCTCTTATTTATGAAGATGTCTGAACATAGACAAAGCATACGAAAAACGGAACAGAAAATATCTAATGCCGTACATATATACATGTAACATGTTCTGAGCGAAAATTTCCATAATTTTCAATGCATATGTACCCATGCACCTTAGGTGTGGATAACGTACATCTCTGTAACCCCCCCCCCCTACTAAAATATAAATAACAACTCTATATTTTCTCGAAAATATGTCATTTCCCCACCAATTTCATCTTGACGTTATTCTGCGCAATCAGTTTGTGCTGTTTTGCACAATTTGGTCATATACATGTATGCTATCTTTCTTCAATCCCCGTTTCAGGTCCCTGTGGATTGCATCAACACTCCTGTAGTTGTAATAAACTTTTTTAAAAAATTGTTAATTTCCTTAATGTTAGTGATCGTTGTCTCTAACACAAACGTATATATACTCTGTCTTTCTCCTCCGCCTTATAATCAACAATGATGATTTTGTCTTTGACGAATAAGCCATTTTTTAAATTCAGATTTGGATGAGTGGTAAGTGCAGGCACGGATCCAGGAATTTTTTCCAGGGGGGGGGGGCATCCCATTCAAAAAAAAAAATTCCAACCTAGAAAATTCTTGACAAGCAAAAAAAAAAAAAAAAAAAAAAAAAAAAAAAAAAGGAAAAAACCTATTTCGGAAGGGGGGGGGGGGGTAGTCGTTGACTTCTAAAGCTCAATAATAATGACTTTTCGTACCACCTTTATACAGATCCGCGTTTTCGAGGGGGGGGGGGGTCCAAGTTCACTTTTAGTTGGTTTAGTATATACATTTAATATCTCTGCAAATTTCAGGGGGGGGGGGGTCCGGACCCCACTCCCCCCTCCCCTCTAGATCCGCGCATGAAGTGAGACATTCTGATAGATAATGGGATGCGAGTCTAATTAATGTGTATTTTATTGACCATTGCATGTATATATGCCACATGTTTTGAGGAAAAAAATCATGAATAAATCACATTGTTACGATAACTTTTAATTAGATATGATTTACATCTATTAGATAAAGAATATTGCTTCCTAAGTCTGAATTATACCTGTGCTTAGTGAAAACGTGACATCAAATTTTCCGTTTTCCGTTCCGTTCCGCTTTCCGTTCCGTTTTCCGTTCCGCGTTTTAGCAACACCTGGGTGGGAGGTGGGGGTGGATGTGAGTCATTTCATTTAAGATATGCTAAAATACACGGGAAAATATAATAATACGTTTATCTTTTCAGCTTATATAAAACAAAGCATATCCAACAAGATTTAGTATTAACATGTATATATTCATAAGGCGTTATGTTCAGAAAAACTTGAATTCTATTTAAAAAAAAAAATTATACTCAAGAAAAAGAAGTCCATATGTTGATTTACTCAGAAAAAGATCGGAGAGATCCTCTCTCAAGTCACATATAAGCTTAATTGCATTTTATAGAACGTGGTAGATATATTTCCACATCAAGAAATGAAAGATGTTATAATGCTTGCAATACTGATGTGATTGAGGATGAAATTCATTTTCTTTTTCATTGTAAATCTTATTCTAAGCTAAGAAACACATACCTTAGAAATATTCATAATATAACAAAGAAAAATATTAAATAAATCTTTACAATGAAAGATGTACAGATTACCACTGGTTACAATTATATGTATAAACAGTGGTATACATAAAGTCTTGAAAGTTACTGTGAAATTTATTAGAGACTGTCTTGAACATAGAAGTCAATATTACTTAATACTACATAAAAATTTTGTGAACATTATCTAATGATATTCAATGGGCCTTTGCCAATTATTGTAATTGTGTTTGTGCCAATAAATATTTGTATTTGTTATTTCTGAAAGAAAAGCTGCAACAGTATAAATCTATGTTTTTGTCAACTTTCATATAAACTATGTAATATAAAATTCATCATTTAATTCATATTATTACTTTTTATTATCTAATATTTTTTGGGTCTTTTTGGGTTCATTTGGGTCCTTTTGGGTAAATCGACGCACCCCTTTCGAACTATTACTACGCCAACTGCTTATAACTGAATATACTCTGCACTTCGCAAATTCTACGGGACTTTTTTGTTTATATATATACAATTTTAATCACTTTACTAAATCTTATAAATCAAATGTACAACAGTATTACATAATCAAAGAATAGTATAATTTTTTTTGGATTATGTTTTGTTGTTGGGCATTTCCATAACACAGGAAAGAATGAACAGTATAAGCACAGCATGTCAACATCTCAAAGAACAGTATGATGCATGTTTCAACAAATGGTTTTCAGAAAAATTCCTAAAAGGAAACACAAAAGACGAATGTGCTCCACTATTTGAAGTTTACCAAGACTGTGTCAAAGTAAGTATCATGGGCTGTTATGTTATCAGGTCCAGCACAATACCCCGATAAAGGTATCTATAGCTTGATAAAGCAATATACCTTTATCAAGGTATTACAAATACCTTGATCAAGGTATTTTATGTAATGAAAATACAAAAAAAAATCCTAAAAAAATTAAATTTAAAAGTCTAATTATGAGTTGTGGTCAGTGTGTTCACTCGTGGAGTGTTGGTAAAATGGGTAGGCAAACCCGGGCCGGGGCAAATTAAAAACCGGGGCTGTTCAGGATTTTTCAGTTTTCCGTCTTAATACTTTATCAATCAAGCTGAAATTTTCAGATTATGTTTGTTATATGTTTATTTTTATTCGTTGTAAAATTTACCTTGAAATACTCGGTATTTCAGATTTTATCGGCGATTGTTGATTTCCAAGTTGGTAAAATGGGTAGGCAGCAGTAAGCCGACATTTTACGATTTTTTGGACATATTTGACAAAAAGCTAATAAACTTATGAATTATTCTAATGTTTAACAGTATATCTAAACTGTTTTTAATTATTTCTTCCTTGAAATGTGTTTCTGTTGAGTAAACTAACACGTTTTTAGAAAAACCGGGTCATTAAAACTGGATCCGATCACCCGGGACAAACACGAAAAATCCGAAATACTTGTTTATTACTTTTTACTATTGTCACCTGGAAAAAAAAAAACTCTATTCAAGTTATTTGTTGGATGTTTGTATTTAAATTTTATTGATATTGAAAATATTTTAAGAATCTTGACATATAATTATATGGATATTAATACAAAGTCTTGTGCCAAACTTTAATCATGTTAATCAAACATAATTTAAGCTGCTTGGGATAATAAAAGTAGAGAGTTAAGAGCTAGACAATACCACAAAGGTGTTGGCTTACAACCTCAGAGCCCCCTATGAAACAAGGAACGGCGATATCATTATTCCGGAATTTTCAGGTTTGTCCCGGTTGATCGGATCCGGTTTCAATGACCCGGTTTTTATGAAAATGTGTATTTAAGCATAAAAAAAGCATTTCCCAGCAAAGAAATAACTATTTCTAGTTAATACACATTATTAAACATCGGAATAATTCAAAAGATTACTTGTTCATTGTCACATTTGTCAAATTACTCGTAAAATATTGACTTGATACTGCCTACCCATTTTACCAACTTGGAAATCAGCAACTGCCGATAAAATCTATACTACTGAGTTTTTCAAGGCAATTTTTACAGCGAATACAAATAAACCTATATCAAACATATTCTGAAAAATTCAACTTGATTGATGAAGTATTAAGACAGAAAATCGAAAAATATCGAACAGCCCCGGTTTTTAATTTGCCCCGGCCCGGGTTTGCCTACCCATTTTACCAACACTCTCACTCGTGCATGAAAAGTACTCGGGTATAAAAAAAAAACAGCATAAAAGTACGTCTCCTCACACGACATGCTTTTATACTGATTTCTTTGTGTTTAAGTACTTTACATGCATGAGTGAATTTACTGAGAACAACTCAGAACTCGACTTTCAGTATTTATTTTTTTAGGATTTTTTTTTTGTATTTTCATTACATAAAATACCTTGATCAAGGTATTTGTAATACCTTGATAAAGCTATATAGCTTTATCAAGCTATATACCTTAATCAGGGTATTGTGCTGGACCTCATGGTTATAGCTGCAGAACCGTAACGTAACGCTGATACTAAAACAGGTTGGGCACATCCCACCAAATGGTCATTTATCCCCCGTTTGGTGGACAATCTCCCATATCAGAGACGTATTTTACTGACCATTTGGGAGAGAAAAATGGTTGTGTTCAATTCTATAGAATGGCGTGGAATGGCGCATAATTTTAAACCACGTGGAATAAAATATAGATATTTATCGGTGTTCTGAGTGAAAAAAATCGGAAATTCACTGTGTAATTCTTTGCGGAGAGTCGATCAAAAATTTGACAAAAACGTCACGTACGTAAACGAGTGCAACGTTTCTCAGTTTTTACTTAAAAAGAAAATCCCCTCCTTCTCCAACGATGCTGCACCTGTCAATCATGTTCTTTACTTTCTATTTCAATTACCCGGGCAACCAATGAAATAATGCAAACCAATAAAAACGATGATCTTTTTTTAACGTGGTCAAAAGTCGGATTCAACTATGGAGGCACATTTGTGTTGATTTTCAATTAGGAAATCAAAAGAAAAATAAGTTTTTGCCTTTACTTCGTCTTATTTTGTACGTAATGGCTTTGTTCTTTATGAAAATAGTAAATGAATTTAGATTATGATATAATTATTGTTTTAAAACGATCTACTTGGAACAAAAACAAGAATAATTGTAAAAGTCACTTTGTAAATCTTTTATGGAAATTATTTATCAAATGTATTAAATTCATCATTAATATACATATTAAACCACAAAAGGTCGCATGGAATATGGAACTTCATCCTAAAAGAAAAATAACAACAGATATTACGTTCAAGTCTAGAAAAATTTAACTTTATAGAAATAAGTGCCCACCATACCAGTAAAGTAATGAGGAGCTCGTGTTTAACGGGGTTTTATGTAGATATTGATGAAGATCCAAAGAGCGATTGAAAGTTAACTTACCAAGAGTTAAACCACTGGATAAAATAGAATTTTTAGCCTACTAGACACAATCAAAATTTTTTTGATCGATTGATCAAGAAGTTCGGCTGTTAGGGACAACTATGGGTATTGTTTTTACGAAGTTATGGAGAAATTGCACATGGAAAATCAACCGAACTATGTTAATTGTGTGAGGAATATGTTCACTAAAATTCCCCAATGCCTATGCAAATGCGCTTTTGCTATATTTTAATAAAATTTGGAATTAAATAAAGAAGTCCACCATTTGGTCAGTAAAAGTCGTCTCCCATATGGGAGATTGTCCACCAAACGGGGGATGAATGACCATTTGGTGGGATGTGCCCAACCTGTAAAACAAGTCCCACGGAGAAAATAAGTCCCACATGAGTTCTTCGTGAGTCCCACAGCAAAGGAGCTAATAAATACATATAATAAAGGTTTACTTTGAAAGAATGATATTTATTTGATCATCTATTAAAAAAATCTGATGAAAGGTACTTTAGTGTGATAAATAGACCATTGTAACTGTCAGACCACTGTCAAGAACGATAACTCTATTTAATGTAAACAATGGATCAAGATCTTGGCACTGCTAAACCGCTCAACTTTTGGGATGGAACTTTTTTCCATGATTGAAAATAAGTCATATTGATGAGTGTCTAAAAATAAACTTTTTTTTAAAAAAGGTAGTTAATTGAAGTTATTTCTGAATTTAATTTGTTCTTCTGTTTAACTTGACTTTTATTTGTTTGAAAATATTCATTAAACGTTAGTGTTAAATCTAAAGCAAACTAGCATGGCACGGCGCCATGCCCTTTTTTACAGCGCCATGCCCTTTTTTCCTTGCAAAAATAAATAAATATGCCTAGCAGAGGCAAGATGGACTAACGGCTTTGTTTATTCAGTGCATGCTGGTTAGCCCCTTTGTTTATTTAAAGCACGCAAAGGTGTGAATTCAGGACAGGAAATCACTTCTCGCTTGAACGCACACAGCCACCTGGCCAGGTAACATGCCTCAGGCTGTCAGGGTATAAGAGATAACACGAGAAAAATCATTTGATTCATTGATAATGCAAGAATTAGCCCAATGTCAAAGATAGATTAATTTGTAAATTAAAATGTTACGCATTTTAAATCAGGATCATTTATTTTTTTTAAATTGAAAGTAGAAAAACAGAGTTGATGAAGAAATGTGAAAAATAAAACTGCTGATGAATTAAGTCAACTTACAATGTACAGTACCAAAAAATACAGAATATTATGTGTGAAATGGGCTAGGAAACAACAAAGTATGAAGTTAGTTTCTTTCAACATGTTCATTGATTCTGTGCTCTAACTTTTTGAGTTGACACCCTGAGGCTCAATGTTTCTAAGCCAGAAAAAAAGTTTTAACCTATTTATATATTATTTCAAGTTTAATTTTTTTGGTATGATCAGTTTTCACTTGGTTTTGGTGGTAGATTATTTTCAAAATAAAGAGAATGCCCTCTACATTTATTATCCAAGTAGCCCCCCCCCCCCTCCTTTGCAATTTTGTTCTGTTATTTACTTCATACACAAATAACAATATTAAAGCAAGGGAAAAAAAATCATACCCCAATCTAAAATAATTCTTGAGCAAGTGACAAAAAGATTCACATCTATTACTTTTTAAGCATAACTTTGATAACCATACATGTACTAATTTCTTGATTAAAAAAATTGAATTTAAATTTTGGCAATAATTGCCCTCTCAGTGTGTATTAAATGAATTAAGCTGACAGATTTATAATTTTTCTTTTAGATACTTGTATAACTAAAGATTTCAGTATTAAATAATAATTTAAGTACATACACATGATAAAGAAAATATTTATAATTTCAAAGACATTAAAAAAGTGCCATCATGAAAACTTGTTGCGGTGTAAAGTGCCATTTTGATTATTGGATTACGATGCCCTTTTTAGGGTCTAGATTTAACACTAAACGTATATGTACAATATTTCATTTTTATTTTAATATTATGTTGTTTTGTTTTACAGATCAAAAGTTTTACTTTGGTTTTATTTATTTTAACAACAACTTCGTTTATTTGCCTGACACCCATGACAGACTTATGTTTATTGTGTATATACACAGAGACCTATAGAGATACGTCCCTGATATACCTGTACACAACACCTGAGGGTTGTTATTCACACCTTTCCATCTCCCTAAAATTGCATTGTTTTGTTTGTATACCTATTACAATAATTTTTATAGTAGATAGGGTACAGTTATTTTCAATTGAAATTCAAATTAAACTTTAAATAAAGGATTTTAGGAAAGCCACTAATTGTACATGACAAAATGATAAAGATTATCATTATATAATTAAGAATATTCGTTTTTGATCATATAGAGAAAAACAT